TCTCTATCAGCTGAGTGTGTTTGGCTTCCATTAGCTCTATCTCTTGCCTAAAGGAGGCATGTTGAGATGCTAGGGCTGATTCAATCAGCCCTTGGACCTTCTTTGTCCAGATTTCCGGTATCTCATCCGGAAGGGTAGGGGTTGAAGAGCTATGGAAATGAAAATTGGTTACCTGATGAGGAGATGATGTCCTTTGGAAGAGTTGCAAAGGAAGAGATTCAGCATCTTCTTGTACATCTTCTTCATCAGTGACCTTTAGTGTCCTCTCAGATTCTCCTTCAGCTTCATCAAGTGCAAAATTTGATATGTATCTGGAGAGGGAGTCACTATCTTCAGCTTCATTTGGTTCTTCAAAGATGGCTATTGGAGTTTGAGAGACCTCCACTTCTGCCATCTGAGTTTCCTTCTCAGCTTCTCCAGAGTGCCTTTGGACTTCTACTGCTTTCTCCATGGTTTCTGGAATAGCTGACTGTTCCGGAATTTCTGCTGACTTTTCCAGAATCTCAAGTTGTGTCTGATTGGAGATCTCACAAGGAGTAGTGAGGATCTCGAGCACTTGAGATTGGATCAGTCGCTGAAATTCTTCTTCTTCAGTTGCTTCCTGGTTCTGCTCTTGTGGGGGAGAGGCTGCCTTCTCTTGAACAGTTTCAGTCAGAACCATTTCAAACGCAGGTGAGGTTTCCGGAAAGATAGGGAAATCCTCAGCTGTTGCTTCCAAACCAGCTATTTCTTCAGAGGTGAGAGCCATTTGTTCTTCTGTGGCTCTAGTGAAGACTGGCTTGAAGACAGCAGTGTCTTCATCATCTGCTTCACAGTCTGAAACTGGTGTGTTGGCCAGGTATTCCATATGCAGGTCTTCTGGGTTCTTTTGCCATACCCAATAATCCTTCAAAATATCTTCACAGTTGTGGTTGACTGGAATACCTAAGCACTTCTTGATAATCTTCTCATTCTTCAGCTGTTGGTCCCAATCCAACAGTTGCTCTTTTGAATTTCCAACTTTCCAAGCTCTCCAATTATTATAGAGCTGCCAGAATTTGTTGTCAGCATCATCTGTATGAGGCTGAGATGAGGGGGTTGGAAGGCTTGGAACTTGAGGAGTTTCTTCTTCAAACTGTTGAGGGCTCCGGTTTTGAACAGAGGTTTCCTCAGCAGTTTCCTTCTCCTTCAACTCATCCGGATTGACATTTCCAGATGTTGATGGAGAGTTGATCTTTTTCTTTTTCTTCCTTTGAAGTTCTCCATGGTCAGAGACTTCTTCTTCTTCTTCCAAACATGCCAAGGCAAGGTTCTGTGGTGCTTCAATACTAATGGAGGGAGACACCACTTGCTTTCTTTTGGCAGTCTTTGCCATATGGATGAGCAGGACATTGTCTGAAGAGCTTTCTTCTGCAGTGACAGTAGTACCAGCTCTGTTTTCCCCTTTTGAAGACAGATAGTATAACCAGTATCTTTCTCCATACTTCTTTTCTTTAGAAGCAATACCCATAGACTCCAAAATATGTCCAAGGTATAATCCTTGACAGAGATATTTCTGGTTGGGCTTTCCCAAATGCTTTGAGATGGAATTGAAAAAGTGTGCAGCCCAGTTTACCTTAGTTTTGGTAATGAGAGCGTTGATGATGAAGGCTCTCTTCTGGGTGATGTCATCGGCGTGACCTCCACTTCCACATTCGAGGCAGGCGATGACCAGTTCCAAAATCAGCTTGTAATCATTGTTGAGATCTGCTTTCTTTGCTAGGCCAGAAGGAATTTGCCCAGAGATTCCAATGATGTTCCAGTCCAGATTTTTGACTGGAAATTTCCCAACTTCAACTCCAGAATTGGGAAGGCGAAGCTTTTCTCCCAATTTCTTCTGCGAAAGCTTCACCTTTGTACCCCCTACAGTGGACTTGATAACTGGAAACGTCCTCTGTGGGTCCTTCTTTGAATGAGCAGTCTTGACTTCTCCATTCCTGTAGAATTCAAGAACTTCTTCCTCGAATTTGAGGCGAATCTCCATTTGAAGAAATTCGGAGAGTTCTTGAGCGCCTATCATCTCCATATAGCTTTGAAAGAATGTCGATGAAGAGCACTTGGCCTCTAACTTCTGGAAATGAACATTTGCTCCGACAACCTTCATTTTCTCAGAAATTTGGGTGAAAATTTGAGAGA